AAAAGGTTCAGGAATATGGAGTTACTAATACACTATGGTCATATTTAGTAACAGGCTTGGATCTTTTGATTAAGCCTTTCCATCTTCCACAAGTGTTTTTGTCTGCTGATCTTACCTTGGGACCCAAAACAACCTTGTCATCAATAGGATATGTATTGGCTTTCAGTTATTTTCCTGGGGTACTTATGATGAATTGGGGCAATACCATTCATACTCCATGTGGTTTTCTTTCTGCCCCCAGAGATGTATATTTCATGGCTGTCTAAGGCTAGTCTTATGAGCACAGACATGTAGCTGAATGATTCTTTGGGTAAGGATAAGGGACTTGTATTATTACTTACCCAATTCAGTCTCACTTCCCCACCCCCCGTATTGTGCGCAATAAAGCATTTAGAAACAGATGTCCCTACCAACCAGAAGGTTTTCATTAACCATCCCATTGGTTAAAAATTGCAAATTTATTGTTTAAATAGCCATTAGAAATATCCAGGCTTGAAATTAACACCACTGATGACAGATGTTTAGAACTTTGGTTCATCTTCATTGTCGTACAGAGCTGGACTCTTGAGTTGTTCTGTTGTCTCTAGAAGCTAAATATACCATAGAATTTAAAAGTGTTTCTTATTTGTTGCATAAAGTCTTTCCCAGAGGCATCACATTGATCCTCATGAAGTCCTCACTTGGTTCTGTTTCGTATCCTACAGTCCTGGCTATTCTTAAAGACTCCACACTCTGATCCAATCTTGAGAATGTTTTGCTCATTTGAAAATTCTTCCTCCCACCCCTGCAACAAATGTCCTTTGTCCCATAATAATTAAAAAAAAAATCCCTGGGAAGATTCAAATTGAGTAACAATAAAGATCTGACTGGAATGTTCATAAGCCTGACAATGTACAATTGTATTTCTTAAGAAGTGTGTAGCCACAGTTGTCTGGGCTGCAAAAGACACCACAGAATAAGATCAGAATAGAATTTCAACTGACTCCCTAATTTCCTTAGAATGGCTTATATTTCAAGCCCTTCCTGTTTTTTTTTTTTCTGATAGAAGAGGTGTACATTACTAACTATAAGTGATAAGGAAGTATAAAAACAGCCACTGCCTTAAAAGTACAATTGAAATTAGAATTTAAGTTCACATGTATAAATTTGTCACTTTAGCATAAATTTAATTCCAATACAGACAATTTGCAATTCATCCCATAGATCCTTGCTGTGAAAAAGCCAGACATGTATTGGGGCTGCCCTATATACTTGTTTAATCCTACTTATTAGAACTCCTCTTGATTTACAGTCACTTCCTAATTTCCCACATTGGGCCACAACTAGGTCTTTAAATGATAAGTATAAACATGCACTAATGAAACAGAAGTCCATCTAAATGGAAGGTCATATCTGAGTAGGCAGAGATAAGTGAGCTGGAGCAGAGGATGTTGGGTTTTGGCTTGAACCATAGCAAAGTGCTTTCTTCTTTCAGAAGGTGATTTTAATCCAAATCTCAAGCCCATAAGACTTTTCAGCCACTGTAAAATCTGAGATGAGCTGTTTGCTGCAAAAGATGCAAGTTGTCATTTTGATCCCTCTTTCAGGCTATCTGTGCAGCGAGGGCTTGGGAGGACCCAGGAGGTTCTTGGGTGGTTTGCTCCTTGTGGCATTTTTTTTTTTTTAGAACCCTTGAACTCCATTTGGGGAGTGCACATGTTCTGTTGAACCCTGACCTGGGTGGCCTGTGTACCACGCTGAGGGCAATTCTGGTGTGAATCCCTCCTCCACACCAAATAGGTAGGAATTGCATCTCTGCTGTCCAACTGCAAGATAATTGAGACAATGCAAAAAGGGAGGAGGAAAAAAAATGACTAGCCCAGGCTTTTATATACATTCATTGCTTCTAACATTTTTAACAACAAGAAAAATGCAACTTCAACTACCCTTAGCAATAACATTTTGCTTAAAAATTAGAATCATTCAAAGGTCTGATCTCTTTGAGAGAGTGCAGCCACAATACTGTACAGTTCTGGGGTCAGGTAACCAGGAACACTTATCATTAAAACCAGATAATGGAATCCCACAGCAAAAGGAAACCAGCCTGAAATTAGCCTCTATGACCTTTTTTATATATACATTTTAAGAATACTCTGCAAATCTCAATTTGAACAATAACAACAACAATAACCAAAGACAAACAAGTTTTATATTAAAGATGTCCGTGCTCTTCATGGTTACTTCTAAAGCAGCTTGGAGGAGCTCGCCACTTGAGAGTGTACTGCAAACCGACTCCATTGCAATGATCTTGGCAGGATAGCAGCACAGAATTTGATATTACATATTCATCACTTTTGACAGTGTAAACCTTTCATAAGATAACATTTTGCTTAAAAATTAAAATCATTCAAAGGTCTGATCGTCTTGTTCCCTGAGGCCCGCCAGGGAGGTCTGGCTTCATACCATGGGTTTCCCTTTCTCCACGTGGGGCCTAAGTGCCACTGCATTTCTGGAAGAACTTGAGGATGGCCACGGAGAAGGACCCTATGGAAGGAGAGCTGGAGGGCTCTAAATAGGTTTCCATGGAAAACAGGCCCCAGAAACCATTTTTAAGGATCAAACCATCAGGGCCAGAATTTAATCCCCTGGTCATTTTCCATCTGGATTTCCAAGTGAATGAACCTCATGGGTTTAACCAAACATGTATGCACTCTTAAATGATGTAAGTTAAATTCTGAGTTGGCCAAGACAGGTGAATCTCAAGGAAAAGGGCTGAAGGGACAACAGATACTGTCCCTCACAATAAACAATTCTGTTGACATGGAAGTGGATGTAGATTGATTGACACAAAGTGGCTGAGTGGCCAGCAAGCTCCAGGATTTCTCAGGTAGCTGAGAACCAGGGCTTATCTCACCTCCTCAGAAATGCTTTGAAAGAATTGAGAGCCAAAAATCTCAAATGGGAAAAGTGGTCATTTTGCTAACAGTTAGTGTAGAGCCCATAACTAAATATAATTTTTTAAAAAGATGCTGAGATGCTAAGATCTTTTTTTTTAAAAGCAGCTTTCGAAATATTAACCACAGCATTAAACATTGAACACAAGTGCATTCCGAAGTTAATACAGATAAATGGTATACAGATAAATGCTATAATGCAATAATGCCACAGTTATTCCACATGTCTCAAGGCTGAGTCTAAACTTGAAAAAAGATATTTTGTAGTTTATGAGCTGGAGATCTTTCTTCTTTTGCTACTCCTCTAGCGTTTTCCAGCACTGACTTTTCTCTTTTCCTTGTTTAACGCCCCAGGATATATAGATAATCCGCACATTCCACACCTGGAGCTTCCCTGCCCACCCCGCCATCCCTTTCTGTCAGGTTTTTCAAATAAAACCAAACTACAATGACAAGATAATGCTTCACATCGTAATTCCACAGACATAGGTCAGTTAATCCATTTCAACGCTTCCTTTACGATTTATGACCCTCCCCAAAGTCTTTCAAAAATCTCCCTTGAAGCGGCGCACACAGCCTGGCGGCGCGGCGCACACAGGCCCGCGCTTCCCTGGGGGCGGCTCCCGTGCCTCCCCGCTCCTCAGTTTCCTCCGCCCCGGAGAGCCGACCCTGCCACCTCCTGCTGCCTCCACAGAGAGCGCGGCAGGCCGGAGGCCGCGGCCCGGCGCACACAGGCCCGCGCTTCCCTGGGGCCGCCGCGTCCCTCGCCACCGCCTCAGTTTCCTCCGCAGGGACGCGCGCCCTCGGAGCCTCGGCCCAGCCCCGCGCTCCAGGCGGCGCGGGGCCCACCCGGGGCCCAGGCGGCCGCCCGTCTTCTCTCCCGGCCGCCCGCGTACACGTGGCTCGTTTCAAGGCTCGGCGCCGGGACGAGGCCTCAGGCGGGCCGAGGCGGGGCTGCCGGCCGCGGCCTCCGGCGGAAAAGCCGGCGCTCGGGCGCCTGGTGCCGAAAAGGTCCGCGTCCTCGCGGCCCAGAGGACTCCGTTTCCTACGCGGACAGCGCCAAGCCAGTATTTGGAGGGGGAGCGAATCCAAAATACGTGAAGAAGGACATCAGGGCTTAAGGTACTGGATGATATTGTATAAATTGCTAAAATGCTTCTCGGCACAATTGGTAGCTTAAAAAAATACTTTCCTAGGATTTAAGGGCTTTTTTCCCGTCACGGTCCTTTGGGGTGGAGGTCTTGGCAAATACAAAGTCCAGATAGACCAAAAGTTCAAACGGTTTTGATTCAGTGACGTGGGACAGAGAGTAAACAAAACTTACATGTATTGTAGAGTGTATTAGAGAGTGGTAAGTGCTAACGGTAAAAATGAAACAGCAAAAGCAATTTAGCAGTAGAGTCTGCAGTTTTAGCTAGCATGGACATTCGTGCTAGCATAAGTTCCCGGTTTTTTTTTTCTTCAAACCTGGTGTGTACCATATGCGCAGTGCCCCTTCTTCAGGCCAGGGAAGAAAGGCCTCCCCTCGGAGCACCTTTCCTCTTAAGAATATAACCTCCAGCTCCACCCCCCTCCAAAAAAAAAAAAAAAAAAAGCAAATGTGTTCACCTTCTGCCTAACCTCCAACAGCCAGAAACCCGGCCTCTGGAACAGTCAGGTCCTTTGTCAGTTTGTTTGCTTTTCAGCTGGTTGAGTCAGTCCAGCCAGCAGTATGGAACAAAAATCAGTGTTTACAGGCACAAGAGAGCCAGGTAGAGCCGTCCGGGTGGGGCTTAGCAATTAGTGGTGGGGTTTCCAAAGACAGGAGATTCAATGGGACTGTCTTAAATAAATAAATCTTATTTTTCTTAATAATGTAAAAAATAAACTGTATTCCCTTTGGCAGTAAGTAGCTGATTCAACGTTGAGCTTGAAAGCTGTTTGTGGTGGTGTTGGTTGGTTGGTTGGTTGTTTTTTTCTTTTTAAGAGACCACACCTTCACTTCAGTGGTGCATCAGTGACAATGCATATTATTTCTACTGCTTTCATGAACCTTTTGCATATTTGTTTGTGGCAGGCCTGTGGACTTCACTTATGGCCCAGATAGGCACCCAGGGTGATGCAAGCTCCCACCAGGGCCAGACTGAGCAGTGCCTTCAGAGACAGCCAGGAGAAATCAAACGGGGGCCGCATGCTCGGGCCATACAGCTCCACAAAGGCGTCCTGCAGAGGGGAGAGGGCGGGAGAAAAACAGTGTTAGACTATAGATGTTTCCTGTTACTGTGACAAAGAGTGTGCCAGCACAATGCCAGCCGACAGGGGGAGAGCCATCTGAAGTGCCTTGCACCTTCAGAAGAGTGAGGGCAAAGGTCAAACGTGCTTTGGGGATGATTTCAGACCCCTCTTTTCACTTTCATTCAGGAAATACTTACTGAGACCTTACGCACATACCAGGCACAGCAGAGATACAGCCATGAGTAAAATAGACCAAAAGCTCAAACGTTTTTGATCCAGTGAAGTGGGACAGACAGTAAACAAAACTTACATGTATCGTAGAGTGTATTAGAGGGTGTAAGTGCTAACGGGAAAAATAAAACAGCAAAAGCAGTAGAAATACTGGAGGCTTTGCAATTTTAGCTAGCATGGACATTCATAAAAATAATTTTTAAAAAAACCCCAACTACTCCTTTACTGAATGCTTGCTATGGGCCAGGCACTTGTAATGAATTCCTGACATGCATTATTTTCTTTATTCTTTATACCCATCTTAAAGAGTCCTTTACTTTGTTCCTGTGCTGTAAGAAAAAAGCTGAGACCATTGAATGCTCATTTCTTAGATTTGTTGGGGAAGATTAGATTCTGTGTTTGGACCCAATGAGTATTTGGACAACTCTACCTGAATATATGGGCTTCCCAGGTGACTCAATTGGGTAAAGAATCTGCCTGCAGCGCTGGAGACGCAGGCAGATGTGAGTTCAGTCCTCCGGTCAGGAAGATCCCCTGGAGGGCGGCATGGCAACCCACTCCAGTATTCTTGCCTAGAAAATCCCATGAACAGAGGAGCCTGGTGGGCTGCAGTCTTTTGGGCCACAGAGAGTTGGACTCGACTGAAGCGACTGAGCATGCATGCATGTACATCTGAATATATAAAGCAGTAAGTGAAGTGTTTTTCCCTTGGTGGATTAATCAGATATGAAGGGGAAAACAAGATATAGTTCCAATTAGCCCCCCAAACCTGGAATTAGAGCACACAGTTTCACTAAGGGAGACGGCAGCATGCAGAGATGTGCAGCATCTCTGTGTGAGGAAGGTCTGATGATGCTTGCCATGTTTTTGTCTGGGGCAAGTATTGCAGTAGAGATTTCAGGTATCATTTGTGTCTCCCCACTGCTGTGCGTGGTCTTAGTACATGTAGGTGTTTGAGAAATGTTTGTTCAATTAATGATTAAGGTTTTCTAACATCAAACATTGGTTTGAATTCTGTATTTGGCCTAATACATTACCCAGATACTCTGCCTGTTTGAAATCATTCCTCTTACATACAACCACCTCTGAAAATCTTGGCAGTAATCTCAAAGGTGAACATTTAAGGCATCATTAGGGGAACTTCCTGTGTTATTAAATATAAATGTGCACAATTATTTTTCATGACTGCATGATTTTCCACCACATATATTTATATATCTGTATCTATGCTGTACTTTATTTAACCAATTCCTTTTATTTTTTAATTAAATCACTTTTAATTGGAGGATAATTGCTTTATAACATAGTATTGATTTCTGTGAAACAACATACAACCACTCAAATATTCCCTCCCTCTTGAGCCCCTCTCTCCTCCCCCATCCCACCCCTCGAGGTCATCACGGAGTGCCAGGCTGGGCTCCCTGTGCTATAGAGCAGCTGTCTGTAAATGCTTACCTACTCATTTGGATTTGGGTTTTGTTTTTAGACAAATTCCCGGAGTTGGCCTCAGCTGAGCCCCCACAGCCATGAAGGGTTTGTGCTGAGCCATCTTTACTCTCACTGCTCCGGTGACCTTGGCACCTTTTACAAAAAGCGGACAAGAGGGAGTTCCCTGGCAGTCCAGTGGTGAAGACTCCGCACTTTCACTGCCGAGAGTATGGGTTCAGTCCCTGGTTGTGGAGCTTAAGATACCTCAAGCTGTGCTGCCAGAAAAACATGCAAACAAAAACAAAACCCACAAAGGCAGACAAGGGTTTACAGCAGTGGGTCTCACTGGGGGTGGTCCTGTCCCCCCCCCCCCGCCGCAGGGGACACCTGGCGATGCCTGGAAGCATCTTCGGTAGTCATGGTCTGGGGAGGGGGCGTTGCTAGCATCTGATGGTGGAGACCAGCGTGCCCACGAAGTACGGGACAGCCCTAGCATAAGAGTTATCCCCCCCAAGAGGCTGAGAAGCCTTGTGAAGAGAGGTTCCGAAGAAACTCCATGACCACAGCCCTCAGAAGACCCGATGGTCCATCTGGTGTGTCAATAGCTTTGGTCAAATTAGTGCAAGATCAGTTACTTAGCTTGGACAAGTAACTGCTTCCTGAAGTGGGTGAACTCTACCTTCAGAGGTACTGGATTAACTTTTACCAGGAGAGGGCGCAAGGGCTTTCTTCTTTCTTAATCTATTGTTAAACAGCTTCCTAAGTTTGAGTCTTAGCAAAGCAAGGCAATAGACATAAATGAAACATGTGCTTAGTGAGCTTGGCCCAGAGCTGAGCTGACAGTCAGGACTGTTTGTCAGGGGGGTAAACGGGGCAGGAAGGAGTCAGGACCAATATAGAGAAACTTGCCTCTCGCAGAGTGCACCCCCGGGCCCTACAGACACAGCAGCGGACGTCTAACAGCCCTCCCCTCCGTGCTGTTCTCTCTAACGATGGGAAGGCTGGAACCCCCAGCACACCAGCCGAAGGCGCCCCCAGTTCCTCAGAAGAGCACGCTGGGCAGTAGGCACTGCCGCTCAATGTCAAGAGGGTCGGGGCTGGGCCCTGCGTCCCTTCAGTTATCCGTGGAGTTGTCTGTGGCGGGATATGGAAGAGACTGAGGCCTTGGCCACCTGACCCTTCCAGACCAGGAGCCCCCCTCGGGAGACGGGGGAAGCAGGGAGTCTCGGGCCGCTCTGCCTGGTGCTCAACCCCCCGGGCAGACGAGACACCTCTCCCAGCACCCCAGCCCTGGGCTGGAAGCCCTCCCTGTGCCCAGCCCCGGCCCCTTGTATAAATAATTGTGCTTCATGGCCCATTTCTGATGTGCATTACAAAGAAAGAAATCATTTCTGAAGTGGGATGAACTAACATAGCATCTCTTAACCCAAAGCATGAGCACAGAGGATCTGGGAACGAGCCCTGAGCTCAAGGGAGGAGGTCTGCGTGGAATCCTAGCTTTGACATTTTATTGCCTGTGACCTTGAACAAATTACCCAAGGCTGAGCTTCATTTATCTCACCCATAAAACTGGTTGTTGTGAAGATAAACGTAGGTGACTTGGGCCATTTGTAAAAGCGGCCCTGAGCATGAACTAGAGGAAACAGCACCGTGTTCTCTGGTCTGTCCTCTCTCTAACCTGCTGTGGTCCTCCTCACACTGCCCTGCCTTCCAGGCGGTCTGCTGAGCCTGCTAATTTCCAGAAACAATCGACCCGCTCCCTCTAAGGTGTCAGCTCTTGGTTCTCAAGATGCTAGGTGATTTCTAAAGAAATGTGAATTCAAACATACACACATGATGTGTCCTGGTGGAAAATTGGAAGCGATAACACACGCCCAGCTCTACTTCCTCATAGATTAAGTCAGGCTGTAGGGCTGAGGGGCATCATTTAACAGCCCCCCCCGGCCCCGCCCCTGAGATGGAATCTAGCCCCTATAATCTACCCATCTGTGATTCTAAAGTGCAGAGGAGACCCTGTGGTTTCAGGAGTGAAGCTCCAAAAGCTATTTTCATGGGGGAGTCTTCTTGCTTTTTCAAACATCCTGATCAGGGTGATTTCCGAAGTCTGTTTGAACAGTCTGTCATTATTTGTTTAAGTCTGAAAGCTGTTTTAAATAAACACATGCTCATTTTATGTATTAAAAGCAACAAAGAGGGAAGAAGAAAACCTGGGCCTCGGTCACGTGATTTGGACAAGCCCCTGCTTATATGTTCGGGTGCACGCAGCCCCTGGTCGTGTCGGGACTGGCCAGGGCTCTGCCCGACCTCAGGGATGGGCATGGCAGTCCCCAGGGAGGGCCCTTTCTCCTTTGGTTAGCCCCTGACCTCAGAGGGGAGGCAGGCAGCGCCCCAGCTCTGGAGGCCCTTTTGCAGACAGCTTCCCCACAGACTTCACATTCAGAGGCCACAGATGGTCAGGGTCTGAGTTCCAGCAGCGCTGACCTCAGAGGAGCAGGGCAGCTAATGCCCCAGCCCCAGGCCCTGGCCACAGGGCTGGGAGTTGGCCAGGGAGGTGTGGACAGAATGGGTAGGAACAGACCAGCTCAAGTCAGCGAAGGTGAGGGGAGGGGGTTCCTGCACTGGGACCACTCAGCCCCATCCCTCCCGCCCCCCTGCAGCCCCCCACACCTCCCTCAAGGCAGCCCACGCTCCGGGATTTTGCTTTCCCCGTCAGATCCTTCAAAAAGTTTCATTTAAACCTGGTTCCGAATAAAATGAGATTTAAAAATAAATGAATCAGAATGGCAGGAACTGAAGAACACTGAGTTCCGCTGAAAAGGATGGTGTGGGGATGGGGCGGGAGCCCAGACACCCTCACACAACTCGGGCTCTCAGGAGCGGGTAAGTGGAGAGGCCGTTCATGTTTGGAAATGCACAACTGAAGCTTTAAAAATACCGTTCATGTGTTAGTGATTCTACTTCTAATTATTTATCTTGAAAAAATAAAACTTTAAAACACAAATATGATAATGAGTATGTTATCGTTTAGTTGCTCAGTTGTGTCTGACTCTTTGTGACCCCATGGACTGTAGCCCGCCAGGTTCCTCTGTCCATGGGATTGCCCAGGCAAGAATCCTGGAGTGGGTCGCCATTCCCTTCTCCAAGGGATCTTCCTGATCCAGGGATCAAACCCGCACCTCCTGTATTGGCAGGTGGGTTCTCTACCACTGAGCCACCAGGGAAGCCCAGTGGAATATGGATCAGTCACTGAAAATTGTGCCCTATATTTATTGGCAAGGAAAGATGTCCCCAACATCACACTGAGTGGAACAGCGCAGCCAGCCTCTGCA